TTAATCGAACACGAGGCGAACGAAATTTGACTGAGAATTCTATAGTTATTACAGGATAGCACACGTCCAAAATGGAAAAAGTCAATCCTAATGCAGCGGATTCGATAGAAAGTATCGGAGACAAGAATAAGAGGAAGCCCGCAGACAGAACAAAAGACAAGAAGACGAAGTCTGAGGAAAGAGAAAAGCAAGACCGGGAAGTCAGAAGGAAAACAAGAAAAGGAAGCCTGAAGGCAGAAAGAAAAGCAAGAAAAGAAAGAACGACGTCAGAAAGAAAGGCAGGAAGAGGAAGCTTGGGGTCAGAGAGTGAAGCAAGAAGAAGGGACGATGGGAACAGGATCGGCTTCAGGCAAATTTCAGCGAGAAGGGATTCAAACCAGGATATCTGAGGCACGAAACAGTCTCAAGAAAAGCCTGGATGAAAAAGATAATCAATTCACAAATGAAATGGGGCAAAAAATAAAATAAAAAAGTTGGAATGCCACTTAAGATGGGGAAATGATTGAAGCATTGCGTGGTTCTGCCTAGATCCATAAAAAAAGCTTCCGCCAGCTTCCCAAGAAAGGGATCAACCCCAGCGGCAGCTGTACTAGGTAGAGCTAAGATCAAAACAAAACAACAGAAAATTATGGAGAGTTTATTTGGAACCATCGAACTTTAAACTGCTAAAGGGATCAACATGCATATTTGTTTGGCTCCATAATGGAATAGCGGGGTCAGAGGGGTGATTTATCAGATAAACAGATAGAAAAATGGCCCTGTTGTCGAACTTTTTCCTGTTTTTTAATGATAATGAATATCGTCATCTAACGAAAAGTATCTACATAATATTTCAAATTTTTCTGCTTATAATAAAATTAAAAATATACATTTTAAATTTATACCTACCTGAAATAATTCTACAACTATACCTTTTATTACGTATCACTCTATTTAATTTGGTTTTAAATTGAACTTCCTACCTGCTTCTAAAGAAAGCTTTTACAGTTTGGCAATGATCAGAGATTCACGACTTGACTTGATTTTCACGCTACTTGACTTGACTTGATGTCAAGATCAAGTCAAGTATTTGTTTTTGAAATTCAAGTCAAGTCAAGTAGTTATACATCAAGTAACTTGGAAATCAAGTTTTTCAAGCTAACTACTTGATTTTTGTTGAAAAAATAGTACTTTTTTGATAACAATAAAAATCTATTGTATTATACATGTCATCTTTTATTTAAAAAACATCTAAAAACGAAAACTCTAACAAACTCAGTTAAATAATAAATAAAATATTATGAAATGAAAATACGAAATATTCTGAATTCCCCCCCCCCCCCCCCCCCAAGACCAAATCCTATAGCCGAAACTGTTATTAGGTATTTCAATTATTTTTTTAGTTTATTGAACTAGGAGTTAGGAGTATGTAATGGGTATGGTTATCAAGTCAATACAAAGTTGGGAAATTTGGGTTGCAACCCCCCCCCCCCCCCAATAGGATGTGCTTTGGTACGCCCCTGCCTAAAGTCGGAATAAAAAATCCTGCATGCAGGCGCTTGACCCTCCCCAGGAACGGGCCTAGCTGTAACCTCGGTGAATCCCCTATTTTAACGCTTCGATGCGCATTTCATAGATCGCTATCAAGTAATATCAAGTAATTTGATTTTACTTCATATCAAGTCAAGTAGTTAAGACCGAAAATCAAGTCAAGTCAAATATCAACTTTTCAAAAGCTTGAGTTTTCAAGTCAAGTCAAGTATTTAAGAAAAAATTCAAGCAACTTGGCTTGATGAATCCCTGAATGATGTAATAATTGTTTGGTATTCCTTCAAAAAAAGAATATATTCTTTTGACTTATCTACCTATTCTAGCTTATATGATAATTGCACCGTCCATTTGAATAGATCAATTGACAATTTGGGTCTGTGGAACAGTAAACTGATTCAGCTCAACTGCCCAAGATAAATCTGAGATACGTTTATGTTGTCATGTTTTTGTGAATTTTTAAAAGCTTTTAGAGGTGTAAATAAATTTAGTTTGTGCCTATTTATTTATAAATAAGAATATTTTAAAAATGGGTAAATGTTTTGCGGTCATTACTCAAAAAGGGATTTAAACCGTTCAATTCGTGGGTTAGTAGATATTTCACAATAGCCAATAGAGGAGACGTATATCTTTGCTCCTTTATTGTGGCAGATCAGCTGATGCTCAAAACATAAAAAGACTGGTTGATAAACATTCTATATTCATAAGTGCGAGAGAGAAAGCCTGGTCTCATTCTGGAGCCAAACGAATTTCATAGCACAATATTATCGAATGTAATGCCACAAGAGGTTTTAGGATTACCGGATAATACTTTTGCGTGTCACGAAACGCCTTACGCAGCAACACCACGACTCCGAAGGAGAAGTGGTGTTGCTGGTAACGCGTTGAGTGTCAGGTGAAAGTATTAGGTAATCCTGAAACATCGAGTGGTATTCAAAAGGTTATACAACGAACTAAACTTTAATGCGCTGTACATTATTCCCATATGACACGAGAGGCTTGATAAGTGATAAGCCTTTTGGGATTATCGCGCCTCGTGGCAAAATTTATAGCAAATTCTATTATAGAAAAAGTTTTGTTTCATCTCTTGCCACCAAGCGCGATAATCCCAAAAGGCTCATGTCATATGGGAATAATGTACAGTGAGTTGTATAATCGTTATTAGTCTAGAGAGAGAGAGAGTGTTCAATGGTCGAAGTTTGGAACCAATATCTGCCGTTTGTTCAATTTGTCCTACCTTTAAGCAACAGCGGAAATGTGAGAACAACTCGCTGCCGACAATTTGATCAATGGAATTGCAAATATGGATGTACAGATAATGTTGCTCATAACCAAACCAAGAAGCAGCGAAGCTCTGATCAAAGTTCTAGGAACTGAAGCGGCCCATAAGATATCCAAACCCAAGATGAGAGCTGTTTCAATAAGATAATAAAAATAATCAAAAATTAAAGACAAAATCATGAAGTAACTTCTGGAATAATTGCGAAAGGTAGTTACAAGAAGTTATCGCTGCGAAAGAAGAGGACATTTTAAGTGTGACAGTAGAGTACAACTGAGATTTCGCTCTCCTTCTGGTGACTTGCTGCCCTCGATGTTTTGAAATCAATCGCGGATCAAGAACGGATTCCCCAATAGCTTAGAAGTAATCAATTAGAAGACAGTTAAACTAGTTTTTAGCCCAATAAATTGCAAATCCGGTGGGCGAAGGAACAGAAGCAGGAAACAAGGAGATCGGTGGTATAAGATAGCCGATCTAGGAGGACATTACTATCCTTCAGACAGATGCTCCATAGATGGAAAATACTGCCAGTGCTACGCTACGCATAGAAGGCAGTGGGCAGCATGACAGTCATAAAGAGGTGGCCATGGTCCTGGATGGACAGGAAGGCATGAAGATGTTCAGTATCTAGATGGTTGGTATGATGAAGATGATTACTAGTATGAAGAAAATATATCTAGAAGACATTAATTCTAAAGACATCGTTATACGCACTCTGAAAAGCATAGTTTTAATGCTCGTAGGAATAGAATGGGATGATTATGGATCTGGGTGGAAGTATAGACATAGACATTGAGACGAGGCAGTCTTACGAAATCATATTCGTGCGGAGATTGCTACGCCACTGTAACGTCTCGAGCGCGAATCTTTAGGAATTCGTTTTCATTGTGTGATTTCAATGAACAAGAATTTGCGTAGATTCTAAATGTTTCTCGATTGCATGGTTTTGTTAATATTTTTTTTTATTGACTTTGGTCTTATACATCTTATAAATTTAAATTTCACAAATTCATGTCCAAGAAAACTAGTTTTGTGGTCATACGGTATAGGTATCACATAATTTTTTGATTCAGACGTTTTTAGCGTTCCGCATATGCCAAAGTGATATAAATATTTGAATTTTGACGACTGAATTGAAAGAGAGCTTTCGAACTCGCGGAAATATACAGCGCATTTCATATAGACCGTCAGATAGTGACTGATTTAGGTGCCCCATTTTCGCGTAAAAAACTCGAAGAGGGTTGAAAAAAAAAAAATGATTTGATGAGAATGGAGGGAACTTTACGGTTGGATCCTGGGAATAACATGGAATATTTGATTTTCCTCAACAGAAATAAAATGTATTTGGTGCCTATATTTTCAAACAAGTCGTGTTCACTAAAGAATTAATAAATAGAACCTGGCATCGGATAACCAAAGGTTTGAGTGTTGCAGATGGCTGAAGGATTTTGATAGGAGCGTAATCTTGTAAAGAAAAATCGAGATTTTTATCGATTTTTCTTCACAAGCGCATCGAAACGAAGAAAATGTACAACGTCGCTACCCCAAAAAAATTGGCTCGAGTGACGCGAATGAATTTGAACGCAACATGGAAAGGCCAATGAGAAAGACAAATTTTCCATATGTTATCCCCAGACACACCCGTATATTTCCTTTCATTCTACCCAAAATACATGTACCTCCTTTTCAACCGCTTTACGTCTTTGCTATGCTATTTTTTTGATAGTACGGGGAAGAAAATTTAACTTTCCTTATTGAAAGCTTATTTCGGTCAGATCACGAACATATTAACTCAATAACTCCATACATTCTATATACTTTGATTCTATGTAGAACTTTTCTAGTGAGAATAAGCAATTATACCGGGTCTTCAAAAGTAAACTAAATCAAAGTGCTTTGATTGTAAAAATTTACGTCGTGTAGGTTTCCAGAAATCATAGCCATCTTTGATCTACGTTTTTCTCTTGAAGACTCATTATCTAAGGTGTTTTGATTTGAATATGTTGCCCACTATTCTCCAATTATTCCTAGAATAATAATTATTAATTCCATTAAAGCCTATTTTTTATGTGAGTAGGTACCAACTACAAATTATTTTTCCACCACATATTATAACAGAAATAAAATACAGGAAAACTACCTATATAATTGATCGTAATTAAATTAGTTATCGGAAAATAAAAATCATACTTACAATATTTATTCCATGTTGAACACAAAACAGTATCATACACCATAAGTACCACAAAATATGTATGTAGTTTACAAAACAAAAATGTAAAGACAAGTTTATCGTACAAATATGCGCACGTCAATAAAGCGAAGACAAGCCAATTAGTTAATTTTTTTTTTGCTGTTTGTCATTTCCATAGAGCACGTATTTGAGTGGGAAAGTTGGGGACAAAATGTAATAACACGTTATTGCAAACATTGCACACAATTTTCGTCTTTTGCATATTAAACTATTACCGGCTTAAAACATAAAAACTTTCACGGATGGACTATTTAAATAAATATAAGTATGTATTATGTATTGTATGTCTAAAGTTACGCCCAACCGAAAACAATACACCAAGAATTTACACCTGATCATATTGTGAATAGGTATCAACTTAATTTATTTCGGTGGCATACATAGGTTTAGCATAATTTGATCAATTATTGTATAATCTATGAGCTAACGTCATTTACAATTAGAATAATTGGTTTTTAAATTTCAAGTAATTTTAAGTATATTTTTAGTTTTAATTTTGATTTTACCTACTCATAAATAATTAACAGTTTCGAGCTATGACCTACCTATGTATAATTGATTTGATTTAATTATTGGACGAAAAAGTTATATAAGTACATTTTTATATATATTAGGTATCTATCCATTTTGTTAGTACTATCTTTATTGTGAGCCTGCTCCGCAGTATTGAAATTTCAAAAAACCATCCTTTCAATTCACAATAAAGATTTCTATTATTCAAGGAGGAATAAGCGATGTCAAGGGCTACAACTTTGCCATTATCGGAAGCGCTTCAAATTTTCATCTAAAAGCATGTAGTATCAAGGTATGCCGCACGATTTTGCGTGTGGTGAGTAGGTACCAAAATACCGCACGCAGTGTTTTAATTTTTCATTAGGTATGCAATTATTCTTGGGAAGTTGGCTTTAGTGAGTAATTAGAAGTTAATGAAGAAGTCCTTCGACATAATATCCAAATAAATATTCACCTATTCAGGTCTATAAACCTAGCAGTCCCCAAGAATCGTAAACTCTACAGGATTGCTCAATCGGCTAAATTTGTTCACAATTGCTGTGACGTCACGCGCATGCCGGATTTTCAAGATGGCCGCTGATACGAATGATGTTTAGTTTGTGCTGACAACTATTTTATCGTAAATTCGGATTTATCTAGTGTTATAAGTGTAAATTTAAAGTTTCATTTAATGTGTGTAAGCATAAAAGACTCGTGACTGAAAATACTCGCGAAAACCCCAAGCATTTTCTGGTTTTATAATACCTACTGGATTTGTTGTATCAGGACATCGCTCTTTTATTTGTGTGTATTGCTAGTTAGTATTTCCTAGTCAAGCATTTGTTTTGCTTTTTTTTTATAAATCAAATATCTACTTAGTTGTAAGTTTCCTTTGCATGTAATTACTAATAAAAATTAGGGTTTGTGAAGAGTGAATAAATAAATATGTAAATAAATTCCTTTACTGGCGCGTTTACTATGAAAACGCATGGAAAATATGGGAAACTTGCAATGTTTTTCTGGAATATGATTATGAGAATCTAAATTAGGTATCACTATTTGGCTTTGTGAAATAAGCTCACTTTGACTGTCCATATTAAATCGTTCTAGTACCTATTAAATTAATGAATAATAATTGAGAAATACCTAGGTAGGGTCAGTAAAAAATAAAGCACACTATTGCAACCCCGTTTCGCTTATATTTTGATATTGAAATGCAAAAATTAAACCGGCTCGGCACCCCACATTTGGTTTTCTACTGTTTCTCAACTCTGTAGTCAATTGTGCCCGTTTTGTGCTCAATTGTGCCAGTATTTATGCGAATTGTGCTCATTTGCATATACAAAAAAAACATTGAAAAGAATCCGGGGGCCAGCTTGACTCCAGCCCTTCGTTTTTTTGACTTTTTGGCAATATGTTTGGCTAATTGATAAACAAAAGCAAACAAACTCGTCTTTCTAATTAGCCAACCACTCAAGGATCAACACAAGCTTTTGAAGTCTGCTAATTTTAAAATCAATAAATTAATTACAAAATACAGTTTTCAAAGGAAATAACCTCAAAATAACAATTTTTCACGTTTGAAAATGCAAGGATAGTGCACTGTCATAAAAAACACAAACCGATCAAGGACTGCGTGACGTCATTCGCATACCGCCATCTTCGATGTTTTTATGAACGTTTGTCTTATGGGATTGAGCAATCCTGTAGAGTTTACGATTCTTGAGCAGTCCCAAGGTGGAAAAAAACTTCGGGAACTATATAATAATTAGGTGCTAATTAGGGCCTCTAATTAAAAATTAGGTGCTCCTTTAGTTTTCGAGAAAATCAAAACAAACTAAAGGACTGCTAGGTTTATAAAAAAAAATAGAATTGATTAATTATTAACTGAGTTACAGATTTTTTTTTAATTATTAGGGGACTGCTGGCTTTACGTTTACATGTTGGTGTGGCAGAATGGCAAAAAAACTTCGGGATCTATATAATAATTAGGTGCTTTTTAGGTTCTAATTAGGGCCTCTAATTAAAAATTAGGTGTTCCTCTAGTTTTTGAGAAAATCAAAAAAAAAAAACTAAGGGATTGCTAGGTTTATGAAAGCTAGTAGTCCCCTATAGTGAAAAATATTTTTCCAAAATTTTTTTTTGTATCTGAATTAGGTGCTTTTTAGGTACTCCTAAATAGTCGAAGAAAAAATAGAATTGATTATTTATTAACTGAGTTAGAGATTTTTTTTAATTACTAGGGGACTGCTGGCTTTACGTCTACTTGTTGGTGTGTCAGAATGGCAAAAAAACTTCGGGATCTATATAATATAATATATTGATAGGTGGTAGACGCTTTTTACTCATTGGGCGTCGACCGGTGAGATACCACCATGCCAGAATTGAGTAGCGCTAAGTGGTATCACCACGTTCCGCTACTGCGCTTGCAGTCCGGTTCCAACAATGAGTAACAGATAGCATGATGGCGCCTCCAGGATCAAAATATTCCGGAGGTAAAATACCCGACCACTCGGATCTCCGGGCGTCGGGTGATCCTGGGGGTCCTTCATGCAAAGATATAAAGAGAAGATCAAAAACTCAACTCAGAATTGATTTAAGCAATATAAGAGGAATAAGTACAAATATGAATTCAGTTCACCAACATCTTGAAGAACAAAGACCTGACATCCTTGTTCTCACTGAAACTAAAATCAGTTCTGCAACACCTATTGTGAACTATCTTTATCCCGGCTATGACCTACACCACCGATTTCGACATAATTTTGGGATCTGTGTGTACATTAAAAATGACCTTTCATGTCATCGAGAGGAGAAGCTAGAACCAGCGAACCTTGATATCATATGGCTAAAATTCACCTCAAAGTCATCGACCAAGTTTTTCTGCTGCCTCTACCGACCGCCATCTAACACCGAGTACCAAAACTTTTTCGCGACATTATCCGAAAGCTGTGATAGTATACAGTCAAACTATCCACAGGCGGAAATTGTCTTTTTAGGCGATTTCAACGTCCACAATATACCCTGGCTGAAACACCACAACAAAACAGATAACGAAGGCAGAGAAGCAGAAGCTTTTGCCATAAGTTGTGGTCTAACGCAGCTTGTCGATGAACCTACCCGTATCTCAGAAAGGGGCGAATTTGCAGCGCTTTTAGACTTGTTCCTAACCACAAATCCTGACTCGTACACAATTCAAGTAGATGCTCCACTTGGTTCGTCCGATCATAAACTTATAATAACAAAGTGCGAAATGCTCATCCCACCAAGCCTACAACCACTTCCTCGTAAAATGTGGCACTATAAATCGGCAAAATGGAATGACCTAAAACAGTTTTACCTGGATTTTCCATGGCAAGAGGTTTGCTTTAAAACAGCTGATCCCACTATTTGCTGTAATGAAATAACACAAGTAATCTTATCTGGAATGGATGCATATATCCCACATACAACTAAACGTAGAGCTAATGCAAAACCTTGGTTCAACAGCCAGTGTCAAACGGCTGTACAGAAAAAACACAGAGCATATAATCTTTGGAAACGACAACAAACCGCTCAAAACCACACAGAATTTATAGAAGCCAGAAATAGTTGCAAAATTACTATTGACTCCGCTAAAGAAACATACAATCAAAGAATAAAAAACAGGTTGCTGAATTGTCCAAGTAGTTCTAGGTCCTTTTGGTCTCTTGCAAAAGCTGTTGGATCTAACTTCACCAAGTCATCCATACCACCACTTACAGATAAAAATAATCACTTAGCCACAACATCAGAGGAAAAAGCCAATATGCTTGCCCAAATGTTTTCCTCCAACTCCAACCTAACAGTGCCAAACGGAAAAACTCCACCGTTCATTGAAAGGGTTTCCCATAGTATGCCAGAGGTACCCTTTTGTCACAGAGAAATACGAAAATCCCGTAAAAAGCTAGATACAAACAAAGCAATGGGTCCGGATGGCATTCCCGCAATAGTACTCAAAAATTGCGCCAATGAACTCACCCCAACTTTCGCAAAATTATTCAATTTGTCTTACAGGCAAGGAGTATATCCATCATCATGGAAGTCTGCCGCAGTACAACCCATTCCAAAGAAAGGAAAAAAGACAGATCCGTTAAACTATAGACCAATTGCTCTACTTCCGGTAATATCAAAAGTAATGGAAATAGTTGTGAACAATCACCTAACCAAGTACTTGGAAAAGTACAAAATTATCAACGATAAGCAATGCGGATTTCGAAAATATAGGTCAACTGGCGATTTACTTACATACGTCACTCACTTATGGCAAAAAGCGATTGAGTTGCGGGGTGAAACAAGAACAATTGCCTTAGATATATCTAAAGCATTCGACAAAGTTACGCATGAAAATCTGCTCAACAAGCTCAAAGCAATGGGATTATCGCCGAAACTTTGCACTTGGTTTGAAAGTTACCTAAAGGACAGATCCATTTATGTTGCACTGGATGGCCAGAACTCCAACTCTTACCAAATAAATGCTGGTGTGCCACAGGGAGCAATCCTTTCGCCAACTCTTTTTCTGATTTACATAAAT